AACAGGCCTGGCAGAGAGGGACCCTGCAGGCCAGGGCGTTCTTAGCGTTGGCGGGGCCCTAGGCAGGGCTCCCACACTGGGGTCCCCGTGTCCGCCGGCAGCCCGAGGCGGGGGCGTTGCAGAGCTGTGATTTTACCAGAATCAGCAACACGCTTGTGGAATATTTTAAAGCAGATTTTAGACTCAGGGCCTGGCGACGCCCCCGGTCAACTCCGACCCGGCCAGTCTGTGTTGGGTTGGCACGTGCCTGGGAACGGGCTTCGTGGCCTCCTGCCCGGCTCTTTCCCGGGTCGATGTTCTGCTCACCGCTCTGGCAGGCGGCGTCCCTTTCCGGTTACCTAGATCCTCTCCCGAGGAAGCGGAGCCGCAGACCAGGGACAGGACGAGGGGGGAGGGTGGGCATTAGGACCCAGCGGTGCCCCAGATTTTCTGGAGCCCTACGCAGCTGCATATCCTGCATGTGGGTGAAGCTGCAGCAGCATCAGCGTGGAGCCACAACAGGCTCGCAGCCAGGCCAGGGAATTGCGCCCTGCCAAGCTGAGCTGGGCGGCAGGGAAGCAGGGGCTGAGCTGCCCAGGGCGGACGGGGCACGTTACCTGGCCTTCGACCGGGCGCTCGCCTTGCCGTGCTTGTCTAGGCCAGAGACTGGGGGGGGCCGGCCCAGCCGAGTTCGCCCTCGGCATTACCTGACCGAGCCACGCTGGCGCCACCCCCTTGGCTCTTCCACATGCTGCTCTAGTTCTCAGAAGGGGGAGGCTGACCCCCTCCGAATTCCCTCCCCCCACATTGCAGTCTGGGGGACGGTCTGGTCGTCATGCAAGCGACTGCTTTTTCCTTGAAAATCGCGCTCCCGTCCCTTCCGCTGGGCCAAGGCCCTCGGCATTACCTGACCGAGCCACGCTGGCGCCACCCCCTTGGCTCTTCCACATGCTGCTCTAGTTCTCAGAAGGGGGAGGCTGACCCCCTCCGAATTCCCTCCCCCCACATTGCAGTCTGGGGGACGGTCTGGTCGTCATGCAAGCGACTGCTTTTTCCTTGAAAATCGCGCTCCCGTCCCTTCCGCTGGGCCAAGCAGCGTGTGTGCACTCCCTGGCGTGACTGCATGTGGCCGTGCGTTTGTTTATGTAGGGCCTACAGGAAGTAGCGGGTTCAATTCCTTAAAAGTATTCAGAGCCGTTTCAGTATTTGAAGGACGGGGGGCGGGGAGTCCTCCCCAAAGGACCGTGCTGGGTTTGGGTCAGATGCACCCGTGGGGTGAAGCCACCAAAGGTTACCAGAGGGATTCACTCGGTCCCAGAACAGCTGGGTCTGTCTCGGGAGCTGCGCTGATCTTCCTGTCTCCTCAGAACGGAGGCTCGCGGGGTCTAGTGGGTTCTTTTATTTAATTATTTCCGGCAGCTGGGCCTGGCTGTCTCGTTTTCCAAAGCTGACGCTGCTCCCTGTCCGAGGTGGCAGGCGTCAGGCACGCCTGGGAGCTCAAAGAGAGTTCTGGGGCTAGTCGGGGTTCAGGGGGCCTGTCCTTTGCTCCGGCTCCTGCGAGATGCCTGCCGTGGCCTGAGCGGGGGCGCGGGTTCTGGCCCTGGGAGAGCTCTGTGGGGATGGCTCCGGGGGCGTCACAAGCCATTTGGCAACGAGGCAGGCGGCGGAGGGAGACGCTGGGCTAGGCGGCGGAACGGGTGATCTGGTCTGAGCGCCCGGCCAGGCCCTGCCACGGAATTTTCTCCGGTCCCCTCCGTGGGCCTCCAGGGCATGGCCGGGTGCTTCACGGCTCCAAGTCTCCTCTCCCTGCCCAGAACAGTGCCAGGAAGTCGCATTGTGGGCGCGGTGTTTTGTTCGTTTCAATCGTATCAGTGTTCTGGGAAGGGGCGATTGTTGTTTGGCGGGAGCTATTGTAAACTGGGTAGCCTTGTACTGCTGTTGTCCGCGCGGCCACGCCATGCAGAGGTGGCTTCGCTCCATGGGAATGCAAAGCCATCAGCCCCCCCTGGGGCCAGCTGCTAACCGAGGCTCCCATGCTGAACATAGGAACAGCCAGACTGGGTCAGACCATCAGTCCATCCAGCCCCGTGTCCTATCTGCCAACAATGGCCAATGCCAGGTGCCCCAGAGGGAGGGAACAGAACAGGCAATCCTCACGTGGGTGATCCCTCCTCTGTCACCCAGTTACAGGCAAACAGAGGCCGGGACGCCATTCCTACCCATCCTGGCCAATAGCCATTGGTGGACCTAACCTCCATGCATCTATCTTGCTCTTTTTTGAAACCCGTTAAAGTCCTGGCCTTCACCACATCCTCTGGCAAGGAGTTCCACAGGTTGTGTGCTGAGTGAAGAAAAATTTCCTTCTGTTTGTTTCCAACCTTCTGCCTGTTAATTTCATTTGGTGACCCCTAGTTCTTATGTCATGGGAATAAGTAAATAACATTTTCTTAATCACTTTTTCCACACCAGTCATGATTTTATAGCCCTCTATCACACCCGCCTCCGTCTCCTCTTTTCTAAGATGAAAAGTCCAAGTCTTTCTAATATCTCTTCATACAGGACCCATTCCAAAGTCTTAAACATTTTTGTTGCCCTTTTCTGAACCTTTTCCAATGCCAATATATCTTTTTTGAGATGAGATGACCACATCTTTTTAAAGATGTGGGTGTCCCAGAGTTTTATATAGAGGCAATAAGATATTCTCTGTCTTATTCTCTGTCCCTTTTTTCATGACTCCTGACATTTTATTTGCTTTTTTGACTGCCACTGCACACTGAGGGTGTGTCTACACTGCAGAGTTTTTTTGGAAAAACAGACTTTTTTCGGAAATAACGTCACTTACATCCACACTGCAATCGCATTCTTTGGAAAAAAAATGGAAAGAACAGAAGGGTTTTTCCAACATTGGTAAACCTCTTTCTACGGGGAAGAAGCCTTTTCCCGAAAGAGCTCATTTTGAAAAAGGCGTGTGTGGATTGGGAAGAGGGAGTTCTTTCGAAAGAAGAGAAAAGAGGAAAAAGCACAGGTACCCTGGTGGCTAGTCCGTCCATAGTAATCTCAGCTGAAATGCGAGATAGAATCCATCCAGTGTGGACGCTCTTTTCAAAAAGCAGATTGCTTTTTCGATGCATTTTTGCTGTGTGGACTCTCTCTTTCGGAAGAAGTTTTTTCAGAAGATCTCTTCCAGAAAAGCTTCTTCTGAAAGAAGCCTGCCGTCTAGACCTAGCTTGAGCGGATGTTTCCAGAGAGCTATCCACAGGGACTCCACAATCTCTCTCTCGAGTAGTCGTAGTTAAATTAGTCCCCATCATACTGTATGTAGAGTTGGGATTATTTTTCCAATGTGCATTACTTTACATTCCTCAGCTTGACATTTCATTTGCCATTTTGTTGCCCAGTTTGGTGAGATGTTTTTTGAAACTCTTCATAGTCTGCTTTGGTCTTAACTGTCTTGAGCAGTTTAGTATCTGTGACGGCGCGTTGGGGGTCCCCCGTCTCCTGCACCCCGAAATGGCACAAACAGACTGCACCAGCCGGTGGACTAGAGGAAGTTTATTGCCTCTCCAGGATACAGCACAGCACAGATGGAATCTGGTCACAGAGCTGGGCTAGGATGCCTCAGGCCCCCTTGAGATGGGGGAGACTGGGCCCCTAAACTCCAGCCCCTTCCCCTAGGCTGTCTCCTCCATGCTTCCAGCCAGCAACCAACTAACTCTCTTCCAGCCCTGCCCCCCAGCCAGGGCAGCATCCACCTTCCTTTGTTCCTCTCCATGGGGGGTGTCTGGCCATACTGGGTTGCATAGTGACTCATCCTGTTTTGCTGGGTTGTGGTACCCACGGCAGCCAGTGGGGGGTACCCCAGAGCCCGCAGCATAGAAACCAGCCAGGTACCCCCACTACGTCACAGTATCATCTGCAGATTTTGCCACCTCACCGTGTACCCCTTTCTCCAGATCATTAATAAAGAAATTGAATAGGCTTGGTCCCAGGACAGACCCTTGGCAGACCCCGCTAGTTACCTCTCTCCACTCTGAAAACTGACCGTTTCTTCCTACCCTTTGTTTCCTGTCTTTTAACCAGTTATCTGTGCATGAGAGGACCTTCCCTCTTATCCCAAGACAACTTACTTGACTCAAGAGCCTTTGGTGAGGGACCTTGTGAAAGGCTTTCTGGAAATCTAAATACACTGTATCCACTGAATCCCCCTTGTCCACATGTTTGTTGACCCCCTCAAAGAACTCTAGCCGATTAGTAAGGCAGGATTTCCCTTTGCAGAAACCATGTTGACTTTCTCCCAACAAATTATGTTCATCCATGTGTCTGGCAATTTCATTCTTTACTATAGTTTCAACTAATTTGCCCAGTACTGAAGTTAGACTTGCTGGTCTGTAATTGCCAGGATCACCTCTAGAGCCCTTTTTAAATATCGGCGTCACATTGGCTGTCTTCCAGTCATGAGGTATGGAAGCTGATTGAAAGGATCGGTTACAAACCACAGTTTCCCATCTGAGTTCTTTCAGAACGCTTGGGTGAATGCCAGCTGGTCTGGGGGACTTGTTACTGTTAAGCTGATCAATTTGTTCCAACACCTCCTCTAATGACACCTCAGTCTGGGACAGTTCCTCAGATTTGTCACCTACAAAGACTGGCTCAGGTTTGGGGATCTCCCCAATATCCTCAGCCATGGAGACTGAAGCAAAGAATTCCTTTAGCTTCACTGTAGCCCTGCACTTGGGGAAGGCAGGCCCTGGAAAGCAGGATCCACAGCTCTCCGGGTGTCCTCACACCCAAACCCTAGTGCCCGGAGATGGGGGTGGGTGGGGCGGGCAGTGATTCCAGCACAGGCCTCGATTCTCTCTGGAACCCCCTGCAGGTCG